TGGAAACAGGTATTGCAAGTCAAGTCAGCCTTGTGGTACCCAAAAGCACCATTACTCAGTGCCAAAACCACTTTGAAAGTGTTTACTGAGCTGCCAAAAGCAACAAAAATGCACTGTTGAAAGCTTTTTCACTCTTGTTCTTCTTGCATCCTCCATAAAAACTCTCCACTCACTTGTAGCAAAATTGCACTACCTACAGTTTTATGTAAAATGTTTAAGAGCAGACAACTGAGCCTCAAAAAGAGGCATTAAAATAATAGAGAAAGAAAGTAAATTGAAAGAAGAATAATATATTTGAGGAGATTTACAGCATTCAAATGTGTTTCAGTTTGTGCCCAGAGAGTACTGTGGTGGAAAGCTGGAAAGCATGTAGTAAACAGCAGAAGATCTTAAATGAAGACATAATTGCTGCCACGATGTACATGTATGTATTTGTAGAGCACTTTATTTGCTCTGCTTCGCAGCTAATCTAGAAAGCATGACAAAAACTTTAGTCCTGCCTCTGACATTATAGAGTCTATGTGTTTTAACTATACACATGAAATTCTACATTGCAAATGAGGAGGCTTGCAGTAACGAAGATTTGTGGGGTGCAGGGAACTTTTTGTTTCCTTGTGAGATGCATTGCCACTTTGATCTGCTAGGCCCAGGGAATGGGTGCAGTGCAGTGAGACACTGGGCACTAAGCACGTGTTGAAAGAAAGAGAAGGAAGTTGATCGCCCACTAGTACATGGGAATTTGAAGAAAAGCAAAGCACTTCTCCCTCCTGTGGCTCGGTTTACATTTTTGTTAAGTAAGGAAAGCAACAGCTCATTGCATGACAGTAGTCTCCCACAAACCTGGGGAAAGAAACATGTCAAAGGAGCTCAGAACCATAGAATCATTAATGTTGGAAAAGACCTTTAAGATCATCTAATCCAATCCCAACCCATGCCCACAAACCACATCCCTTAGTTCCTCATTTACACGGCTCTTAACACTTCCAGGGACAGTGCCATCCTGGGCAAAGAGGAGGTCTGCACATAGGTGGTCTGCACACAGAAGAAACAAGCTTCGTACAAGGAGTGCTCTGTGGCAAAGTTAGAAGTGCTCACCTTTTCCTGCCAGGTCAGAATAAAGCAGAACACCACAGCGTTATTGTCAATCACCATTTGACTGGTGATGAGAGTAAAATCTTCCAACTGATTCACCTGCAGCTAGGATGTTGAAGCCACCAAGGGATGATTCCTCCTTTATCTATTATTCTTTTCAAATATGAATGCTGAACATGAAAGAATTAAAGACACAATTCCCAGTTGTTATGTGAAAGAAGAAAAAAAAAACCCTCTCAACAATATGAGAGAAAGGAAGCTAATGTTTGCTGGTAAATAACACACTGTGCATCAGGCTGGTAAGAATCACAGCAGTGATTCACAATGTTTGCTTTGTTCCTCATGGAAACGGTCTCTAAAAGCTGTTATTTTTATGTGGGATTGCAAGGTGCATTTGGTAATGCACTCTAAGTATTATTTATGGAGTTACTTATGAAATCAGATTGGCTGTCATAGAGAAGGGTGTATAATTCACACTATACTTTGTGTATTAGGAAATCTCGTCACCTTTTGCCACTTGAAATCATCATTGCAAAGAACAGCTTATAGGAAAGAAAGACAGGTAATGGCAGGAGAGGGGAAGGAGATACTCACTGCTATGAGTATCAAAACTGAGGAACAGATCTATAATGACATCTCTAAGTGGATGAACAATAAATACTGAAAACACTGTAGAACTGAAAGATGGTGAATCTCTGATGGAGGTATGTGTCCCATGAGTGAGAGAAGAGCAGAGCATGAACTCAGGTATGAGGTATTGAGGGAGATTAGGCCTCTGCATCTCACAGCAGTTTGGTGTTATATCTGATCATGCATAAAAACACATTTTTCAGACCCACCTTTTGTAACATTACTCTTTGGAAACAATGCCTCTGGGACAATGAATATTCATTCCCTGGTTTGGAGCAAAGCTGGCTTTGTCACTTTCTGCATCTGGCTCTCACCTGGCCTGTGGAAGCCCCAGGGTCAGGTCATTGTTCCACAGATTATTTCATCATTTACCTAAATGGAGTGAGCTCCATTTGGATGGAGTGAGAGCACACTCACTGCCTTTGTGAACAAAAATCTGGGCCCATTCCTGTGCCTGAAGGTTCACATGCCTGCTCCCGAATGGGCAATGTTTACCTCTGGGGAAAACAAAACTGAAAAGAAAAAAAATCACTCACAAGCACAGAGCTGCCCAAGAAAGAGGAGACAAGCCAGAAATCAAAGAGCTCAGCATCTTCCAGGAGAGGGGAGATGAGCCAGCTCCTAGTGTGGAATGTGGAGGAAGTCTCCAGGTGATGCTTCCCATCAGATCTCCACAGCTCCATTGGCTGAGTGCCTTCCTGCATTGCAACCCCTCTGTATTCTTCTCCATCAGCAGAACTGAAGATGATAACAGTAACTTAAGTTTTCCTCGCATAAAGATTGAGGTAACATATTGAAAAAGCATCTGAAAATATGTCAGAAGTAGCATTTGGCTATTTTAACTGATTGAACCAAAACAAGTAGGAAGTTCCCAGTAAGACATATCAGAGGGTATAATTACTTTCTAATAATGTAAAGGGGCTATAAGTTATTTCTAATAATTTCTAATGCTTTTATAACAGTGCTTCTGGGAGATCAGTAAAGCGAAAAATGTTAATAAAAACTGGAAACTCAAATCCTCTAGGAATGAACCACATGTGGCTGCACACATCAGGCTAATTGTGTAAAACCTGAACATCTTTCAGCCTATAATGATAGGGAGATGAATGACTTTAGTATCTCAATACAGAAAAACATGGGGAGGGGAAAGTTTCTTAGTCAAAGAACAGACAGCTACAAAGATAGAAGCTGTGGTTCAGTTCTTTCAGTGCTTCAGTTCATGACTTTTTTACCTCTTGACAAATTATGACTCTTGCCATCACTTAACCCCGACCTCACTGTGCTCATTAATGACAGCTGTTGAGTGTAAGGAGTACTCATTTTCAGGGCTTATCCAGCATCTGGGGCATACAAAGGCTCTGATAAGACTCTACATCAACAAACTGTGCCAAGTGGAAACGGTAATTAATGTTGTAGCAAATGAAATAAAATGATTCACACACTACAAGTGTCGAAGGTGCTCTTAAGTAGACTGATCAGCACCAGACTACAAGCCTCCTGTTTTTCAGTGACCAAGGTAATGGATACTGCCAGATGCATGGCAGCCCAGGCACATCCTCATGCAGGTGTATGCCACCTACTACTGATTGGAATTGGAACATGCAGTCAATTTCAATGGGAGAAAAGCTTTTGCTGAGGTTATTTTATGGAGATATAGATTAATGATTGTAATAGTGATTAATAGTGGAAAAGAAAAAATAAGTGTGGCAAGACAAACTGATGCAACTGAAGCTAATTGCTAGAGGGTGGTTTCTAAGAAGCTTCTACATACAGCTTTTGTATCTCTGACAGTTAATTATATCTAGATATATCAGCAAGTGCATCACAATTACATAGAATAATTTTAGGCATTACAATTTAAAAATATTACAACAGTTGTGTCAATTTTTTCCCTCTTTCAACTACCTCTGAGCCAGTCCCCAGATTTCCAATAGCAGATCTTTCACTACCTGAGATGAAAACAACACAGTCAGCAAGTTTAAGCTACTTCTGTAGAGCAACTAGTTTCACAAAGCAGAAACTGCTTCATTGCTTGGATCGTATGCAGTCTGTACACCAACACTGACAGCACTGATCATTTCCAAAGAAAGCAGATATACTCTTTCATAATTTTTCTCCAAGAAACAGAAAGCTGCTTTAATGTGAAAAGTACAGCCTGCTTTTCAGACTCATCTAAACACTAAAATCAAAACGTTTTGCTGTATTTACTTAACCTTCTTTACCTCTGAGTATTTCCAAGCTTTGAATGATTTATTCATCCTCTTCTGTACACACAGGTTACCAGATCCTTTTCTCCAAAGCCTCAATGTATTCAGCTCACTCTGATGAATAATTTGAGTACAGTCAGGACTACTTCGTGGTGGTTACTCTTCGTAATTAAAAAAAAAAAAAACAACCTGCAGAGACCCCACTACTGAAAACAGAAGTGACAAAACCCTTTTCTCTACCATAATCTTCTGTATCCATAAAAACAGTAATCATTCCCATGACTCACCACAAATCCCTCAAAAAGCACTTGATATGAATAGCTGATACTGCAATTATACATCTTTAAGCCCTATCAAACCTCCTCCCTACGATTCTCCTTCTTAAAAGGGTTTCAATACATCACAGCTTCTGCACAGCTCCATGCTCAGCTGACATACATAGAAGTGATGGCATTTCCTTCATACCTTCACCAATCTCATGTCCCTTGTCTGCTCACTCACACATAAGGAATGGAATTGTTAATAATGCCCATAACTAACTCAGTAATGCTCACCAGGTTGAGGCAATCTTCTTCAGAGAGAAAAAAGATATCCTGGAATGTCACTTAGTATTTCAGCAGACTGTTCTCTGCACTTCTTATGTGCTGCCCATGCTCGTGAAATCACTTCTATAATGCCAGGACAGCTAAGGTTTCTGCACAGGACAGATGTGCTTCAAATGAGCACCAATTTAACAGATGTGTTCTAACTGCTGACTTTCACCTCAGTTCTCTTTTTTTGTTTCTTGAATCCTGCCTCCATAGGAAAAACAATCAAGATACAATTTTATTACTAAAGCTGTGAAGACACAAGAATGTCTATGTAAGGTATTTTTCACTGTAAGATACTTTATATTGGTAGCATAACCACAATCACAAAAGTAAGAGCAACACATTTTCCTTTAGCCTGGAGATGCAGTTGGTTATCACAAATAAAAAAGGCAAAGAGTAAAGCAAACAAAGATGAAACACACTTGAAGTACTGAAAAAGACACAACTTCATGATCTGAAATGTCTTTGCACACTTTCAATCTGAAATTAGAGGATTCTTTTATTGAAAGACTGCTTGAAACAATTGTTTTTTCTGCTCTTCTTGGTGATTTTAATTCATTTTCATAGTTCACAAAATAAAGAGGTAGGTACACTACAACAAAGGACTTGTGAAGACCACATAATGTTGTAACAGCAAACAGCATTATACCAGTAATGTTCCTGCATGTCAATTAAAAAAAGGTGACTTACTGACGTGCATAATAAATTCATGTCTGCTTTGACAGAAAAAAGTGACTTTCTTTTTCATCAAAGTAGAAAAAGTGGTACTTGCATACTTGGTTAGCACTTATGATTTTTATTATTGTGTACATCTCTGGATGACTCTGGTTTGGACATTTATTTAAAAAGGAAGAAATGAGCAAGCACCATGCACTTGACACACCAAGGAGGTCTTATGTTTGACCTCAGCCTGAAATACAGAATAAAACCTCTGTTCAAGAACACTGCTTTTTCATTAGTTGAGCTTGCACTTCCAAAGGCAACCACAAGAATCCCGAATCAGATAGGATTTAAGAGTCAAAAATAAAGGAATTGAAAGATCAGGCAATCCTGCTATGGCTAGAATCCGACTCCACAGTTCTGAGAAACAGCATCACTCATTCTGCTTCAAGTCGAGGTAAGACAGGAAGAATAAGATTTCCAAATGCAGAGTCTTGAGTTATGAAGTATCCTGAGGAATGTGCATGCGCATGCTGGAAGAAGAAAAATATTTTTTAAAACACAATTCCCTGTAGCTGTGATACAATTCAAGACTATAATTTCTGCAGCACTATGCAGTATTTCTCCCAGTCTGCTCTTATGCTCTGATATCCCAATTTAATAACACCATTTTAAATCAGACATAATTGAGAGGGTCCCATCAACTGCATTAACTTGGCCATTCTCTGCTGCTCTCTTCTCTTGAAATCCCACAAAGATAAGGAGAATGGTAGATGAACTCCTGACCACTCTTCTCAAAGACCTCACACTTGCACTCCCATCAATAACCAACTTACAAGCCTAGGTACATGGTTGATGTCACATGTGACTGTATACCAGAAGGGTGCATCAGTAGCGTCACACAACCTGAGATGCATGTACAAATGCCATACAATCAGACATTTCTGGGACATCAGCATTCTGCTCAAATGATGTACATATGCTTGCTCACAGGAAGGGGACATCTGCTGCCTATGGCTCTAGACAGCCTTTGTACAATCCTATACAGCCCTTTCTGATTAAAGAACTGGGCAAGCTGTGGCTTTTAACAGTTAGAAGTACAACACATAAGATACAGAAACAAGGTTGTTAGTTTTGCATCTCGAATTTTTTTCCCTGTGCTCTCTGCCAAGTCATGCTGGAACAGCAAGAAAACAAGTGGCCGTGCAGTGGCTTTCTTGCTCAATTTCCAATTTCAACACTGAAATCAACCTCACCCAATATGAGCAAGATAGCCTGTAAATGTAAAACTAAGCTTCCCAAGTCTTCTGGTTGTATCGCTCAGAACTGCAGGATATTTACTTGGCACTTCCTCAGATTCAAACAAGGAAATCTGTACCACTTGTGCCCTCCCTACAGTTCAAGAGACATTCCTAAACCTGATGAAACTGACAGATATAGCATAATCACAGACATTTTGTACATGTTACAATCCCCCAATCATACTGAGACAAAAGACAGAACTTCAGAACAGAAGACAATACTTCAGTTGTGACAAATGCGTGAAACCTAGCTGCTAAAGATTTCTTCCTTCTCCCTAGGAGGACTGCTCTCTGAAGGGATGCATGCCTGAAACAGAGCTGAACTGAATGGAACCTTTCTGTATTAGCTTACCTGCAGTGCAGCCTTCTGCTGAGCTGCAATGTGCTGTTGCTCAGCATGGTCACGGAAATCCTTGTTTAGAGGTGATCGTGCAAGTGCAATGCTGCAAAAAAAAAAAAAAAAATATCCACAGATCAAACTACCATCGCTTAGAATTTACTTGACTCATGGCTTGACTTGAACTTTTATTTGGAAAAGCTATTTGTTAACTTAAGTAAGACGGGGAAAAAATAGAGTGATCACAGCTGTACTATTTGACGTAGCAAAACCAACTGATGACAAACTAAACCTGGAAGGCTCATAGTCCTGAAGCCTGTTGTGGATTTTGCCTGGTGGTGAAGTCCCATTGAAGTCAATGGAACAAGTGGGATATAATCATCAGCAGTTTTCAGAACTTCAGCCCTGCGTTTTCACCATTTCTCAGTCACTCCATGACTGTCCCAAATCATTTTTATGAACAGAAGCACTAACAGGTGCTCTGCAATCCTCGGCATAAGAATCAGTTCTTAGACAGCACATTCACTGCTTGTAATAATAAAAAAAAAAAAAGCTTTCTATTAACATAACCAAAACAATGATCCCCTAACAACAGCTTAGGGTACGCAAAATTGATTTTGCTTACGTCAGTGCAGCTTATATTAGGTTTCAAATTAAAGTTTATAAGCAGGCTTATTTTGCTCTTGTATTTTGAGACTAATTCAACTTGCTAAGCAAACATAAGAAATTAAAAGCAGATGTTTTCCCTTACTCTATATATTAAAATGCACAGTCATCCTCCAGATAAACATCAGTGAAGATTGCCATTAGAGCTGTAATGCAAGGCAGCTGATAAATCTCTCTCAAACTGGCTCTAGATACTGGTGCTCAAAGTCCTGCTCCGCTCACTCAGAAACAGAAGTATGAAGAACAACAAGGGATCCAAGGAACTCATAAACTGATTTTTCCTAGCAGCAGTGATGTCAACAGCTGATTTACTGCGTAGTATTTCATGAGCATGGTTGCTTTTGAAAAAGATCCAAGTATAAGATCAGCTAAAGTAGTATAATGTAAGCCAGGTAGAAATCATTTAAACATATTTCACAACAAAAAATGAAGATAAGCATCACTGCTGGAGAAAAGTAGTACTCATTTTATTTAAAAGATAATATTTTCACTTATATTGAAAGTGTTTCTGTTGCATTCAATTCTGTCTCCTCTAACTTTTTAGTATGATTTTCGTCTTAAGGTTTTGTCATAAGCTGACATTTTTCAATATATTTTCTGAATGGAGAGAGGATTCCCTTGTGCTAAGGGTAGAAACGAGTTGCCTCATTCACACTTATACAGGCTGTGTTGGCTATAATACTTGTTTGCATACACCAAGCTTTTTTCTACCAAACTTGCAGAAATTCCATGGTCTTATCTTGGCTGACTCCATGGTTCAGAGCCCATAGCATAACATTCCATGCACAGAGTTGTAAGTGGCTCAAAAACCACGCATCAGTCAGACCACCATGCCAAAGTAGAGTGTATCTGCTGCTCTGTACCCTTCGAAAATAGCAGGTTCTAATTCCACTGACTGGCATAATTCTTATCTTATTAAATAAAAAATAAACCAAACAAGCACTCCTGCAACTTGTTGGACCTGTTGTGAAGCGTGGAAGTATTTCTGCCTGAAAGTTTGTACACAATGGTGTGACTATTTCTATTTTCCTCCCAGTTCAATAGCTGCATTTAAATCATACCTGTGTACTGAGTTACAGAACAGATCTAGCTGAGGTGATTACAAATATTACGCACACAGCAAGGAAGAATTAAAGGTAATCTAGAATCTCCTTCAAGAAAGTGTCAGACAGCACTCAGTCTGTATTCAGAGTATCTAACTCTTGCACAGATACTGTATGTAACACTGTGTCTAGAATATGGTGTTGCATGTGCTTCATGCGGGCCACAAAGCACAACATTCTCCACTTCTTCATGTAAGCTGGTGTGAGATCTTCCAGCTACCGATTCAAGACAAAAATCCATATTTTCTCTTCCTTAAATAGGAGATATCTCGACAAAAGCTTTTAAACTCAATTTAGATCATTACACCTAATACATAGAACCATCCTTACAACACAGCGTCTTTTTCAAAAAGATTGGTAGTAGTATGAACTGACTTTGTCTTACATGAAGGGTTAACTCACTCTTAGAACTGTTCTCTAGACAGTACCTTGAAGCTTATAGCATGCTACCTGCATTCCCTGGAGCATTTTAAGCTTTTATTAATATTAATTAATGTTAAATGCTTTCTAGGTACTTATTTCCTAATTATTCTTTAAGATAGACTTTAGTTGAGCAAGCATATATGTTTCTCTCCCTCTCAAATGGAAATTCAGTAAGCCAAAATTCACTTCTGGTAAACAACTTTTAATATTAATGTGGTCCTAGTGTGCGAAGTGTCTCTGACTGATTACTGAGGATGGCTAGCAAACACTACTTGGTAACAGTTTAAGTAAGTTTACAGCTTGCTCTGTAATTTCTTTACCCCCCACCCTTTGATTTAACAAGTGATATCCAAACAGGTCTAAGAACAGAAAATACCTGGCTCCAGGGTGATTTGTGGAAGACTGGTTTTGCATAAGTAATTTTCTCTTCTCCTTGTCTAGTTCTGCCAGGATTGCAACCCTATTTTTATTCTGGAAACCTGGTGAGAATGACAGAAAAATATTAGAAAGATTTACTTGATTTACGATTCTGTGATTTCTGTGGGCCAATTCTAACTTTGTGGAATTAAAAATTGCTGTGTAATATGACATTATGATGAACACACTAATCTTCAAAGCTTTGCTCCCATCCAAAACAGTATAACTAAGAAGGTTTAATTTTCTTCTTCTCTTTTCACAACCTGAAATAGCTTCCTTACGCTATCATACCTACAAATACATTTTAAAATAAAGGTTTCTATCTCAAGTTAGGCCCTACCTCTTTTGAAGCCACTTCTGGAGCTACAGCTATGGTACATGATCAGATAACCTCCCTTTCAAAGGAAAGGTAAACTTACCAGATTCTACATTTGAAATACAGTCAAGGAAAGTATGATAATGGTGTGATCTACTTCCAAGGCCTAATTTTCCATGGTAATAACCTCAAACTGTAGTATAATTTTACATATGTAATAAGTAAGGATGAGACCAACAATAAGCCTGCATATGTGCTTGTACATAAAGTGACACACAGAAATTCTATCTGAAAACCAGAGAAGCAACAGTAATGAGCACAAGATGTTGAAAGACAGCAGGATGTGTGCTCTGATAGATACACGGGCTGTGAGATCCTGCCAACAAGTTATGATTCAACATTTCTCAGTTGCAGCTAGCTCAGATCTTCTCATGAATTCTGGAAACAATACAATAACTAAACAGGAACTGAAGTACTTCTAAGTGAGCACAAGCTAAGGTCATCAAGTCTGTACATACATTCTACACAGTTTTAATCTTTTTGCCTGAGAACTTGGCATGACACCCAGTACCCTTCTGCCAGTGCTAGCTACCTTCAAATGCATAAATCTGAGCGTGTGCTTGGAATTCAGACAATATGGTGACTCAGGCAAGAAAAAGGAGATTATTTTTTAATACATTACTGTCACTAAAAAATAAGAACTAAATGTACTTACATTTATCATGAAGCAGATGCTATGATTCAGAAAGCTTTAAGACACTTGTAAGAATAAAAGTTTAGTTGCTGTTTTTGGACTAGGATCAGAAACCAAGCAAGACTATGATCTTTCCTTTTAGCGCAACTCTTGCTACAGTATGGTACATTTATGGAGAGATTCAAAGGCAACTTGAATTACTATTTTTTTCTTTCCTCCTCAGAGAGTTTTATTTATTTACTTTCAGTAACAGTTTGCTCCAGAACTCAGTCATTATCCATCTGCCATCCACTGTACTGAAAAAATTATTTAAGAGAATTTGTCAGTGATAAACAGAAAAAAATCCTACTTGGGAAAATGGAGGAAGACATCCAACACATACAAGTTATTTCCTCAGCTGAGTACATGAACATCCTACCTACTAAGTATTCTTAATTTGTTCTTAAAGCAAAATTAAACCTGCTTATTCAAAAGTTAACAACTGAGAGAGTGGAGCATGAGAAATCCATTTTAGTGGGGAAAAACTAGCATCCTTACAAAATTATTCATAAATCTGACAGTCTGTAAGAGATTTCCCTTCAGATTTTCCCTGCCCAGGCCCCTAGAGCACTTCAATAAATGACCAATCTGTAATAGCTACATAAGTTAACAACTTGAATTGTAAGGAAAGTAATATTCCATCTGTAGTTTTTTTTCCTGCCCTTCTGCTTTCTGGTACTAAACATGTTAACATGCAAAAAAAAAAAAAAAGCCATCCTCTCTTATGACACATTGATGAGAACTGATTTTCAAACAGAATCACAGAATGACCAGGGTTGGAAGGGACCTCAAGGATCATGAATCTCCAACACCCCTGCCACATGCAGGGCCACCAACCTCCCCATTTAATGGGGAGGGCCCAGGGCCCCATCCAATCTGACCCTGAACACCTCTAGGGAAGGGGCATCCACAACCTCTCTGGGCAGCCTGTTCCAGCACCTCAACACTCTCTCTGTAAAGAACTTCCCCCTGACATCCAACCTAAATCTTCCCTCCCTCAACTTAAAACCATTTCCCCTTGTCCTGCTGTTATCAACCCTTTCAAAGAGTTGACTCCCCTCCTGTTTGTAGGCTCCCTTTAGGTATTGAAAGGCTGCAATGAGGTCACCCTGCAGCCTTCTTTTCTCCAGGCTGAACAAGCCCAGTTCCCTCAGCCTGTCTTTGTAGGGGAGGTGCTCCAGTCCCCTGATTCTTGGCTCTCCTCTGGACCCCCTGTCCTTCTTGTACTGGGGTCTCCAGACCTGGACACAGTACTCCAGATGGGGCAAGAGGAAAGTAGAGGGGGACAATCACCTCCCTGTCCCTGCTGGCCACCCCTCTTCTGATGGAGCCCAGGATACCATTTGCTTTCTGAGCTGCAAGGGCACGCTGCTGGCTCATGTTAAGCTTTTCATCTATCAAAACCCCCAGGTCCTTCTCTGCAGGGCTGCTCTCAAGGACTGCTCCTTCCTGTCTGTATGGATGCCTGGAATTCCTCTGGCCCAAGTGCAAAACCTTGCACTTTGCCATGTTGAACCTCATCAATTGTCATTGATAAAGATGTTAAAAAGCACCAGTCCCAAGACAGACCCCTGGGGGGACGCTCGTTACTGGCCTCCACCTGGACACAGAGCCATTTATCACCACCTTCTGTCTGCGGCCTTTCAACCAATTCCTTATCCATCGAGTGGTCCACCCATCAAATCCACATCCCTCCAAACACAGCAATTATTACTAGAGGTTTAAGTTCAGACTTTCCTTATAACTGGATGTGCATAGCTACTGAGCAGTTCAGGAGTATTCTCTGTTTTGCAAACTCAGGAGTCCATACAAAAATTACCAACTTGTTTATAGCAGCTAAACAGATTAATGGTGGTGTTGTATGTTGAACTGAGAACCTGAATTCTCAGTGCTGAGGTCCTAGATTAAAGATATTATAAGTTCAAACCTGTTCCATCTGTATTTCTTACAACAAGCATTTTTGTAAGTGCTCTGTGTAGAAGTTACAAGTTTACTATCACCACCCTGTGCTGCACACAAAAGGCAGAAGATGACAGAAGGTCAAAACCTCGCTGAGTTATAGCAGTATGTGTAAGAGCTCACAGCAACCTTGTCCTTCTGACCCGATCCCAAACATTTAAGCCTACCTCCCCATGTCTTTCTCCTCCCTATCTGTTCTACAAGCTCACTCTGCATAACAAAAAAAGCAGCACTGCCTTTATCTATTTCAAATTTTTCGCTCTTTTCCCTGATCTGTTGGTCACCTCAATTACACAGTACATAGATTTCTTTTTGGATATGCATTATTATTTATCCAATCATAAAGGCACAAAAGAGCCTTCAGATTCTGCATTTAGGAGAGACTTTATGAAAAGTAGACATTCAGCTTCATAACCATTAAGTTCCATGTAGTACTGACACTGCACACTGTGTGCTCAATTCAGAAAGCATTTATCTGCATTTTCTTCCTTTCCTAAATGGTATCCTATGTGAAGAAAAGCAGCAACCTCTTAAAAAAAAAGTGAAATCCAAGGAGAACCTAACCACCTAATGCCTAGGAAAAAAGATGGAGTTCCTGTACTTTGATTTTCTCATCTCCCTGCAGATGGTGGCATAACAAAACATCATCTATCATCATCCATCATTATATTGTATAGTAATACTTTCAGTAACAATTTACATTCTGATATGCTTTCATATAAATTGTATAACTGTGAAACAAACAACATACTAGCAATTCAGTACATTAACTTAACAAAAGATACATTAGTATCTTGTCTGTCTCTCTTGTCAACAGCTGCATGCATCAGTGAATGTAAGCCACTGATTGCTTTATGGCTGCAAATTGGCCCAGGGAAGAGATCTGCAACAGCCCTTGAGCACTGTGCTTGTACCCAGATCAGACACAAATGTAGGGCAGAGCAGTTTGTAGATGATATAATTCAATGTAAAATGCCATAATCTTCCTCTTTAAGAGGGAGTCTGCAAAACAGAACACTCAATCCACCTGCTCAGACTGTGTAATGGCAATGCGCTCAAAGACAAAACTGTGAACAAACACCTGGACAGAAAGAAACTACCTTATTTTAGTCAAGCAGCAAGTAAAACTTGTCTTTTGGATCGACACATTTCTTCGGCATTTATTTTGAATTTTGACTGCACAGAGAAAAGGAAAAGCAACTAAAAGATAAGAGACTGGTAGCCCTTCTGTGCTTTCAGTTTCTGTGCTTCAGCATTGACTGTACCCAGCTCCGTAGGACTGCCTTCTTGGTAAGGGTACTGACACAGTACTAGGAAACTGAATTCAGTTCTCATAATCAATAAGCAAAGAAGGATATATTCGAAGCTTCTTTCTCCTTAACTTTTCCACAGATTAGAGAAGCTTCATTAAGATTTCCAGAAGGCACCTCTAGAGGGCGATTTAAGCCCCTCCTTCAATTGTCTGAAATAATACTCCTCTCCCTAGCCCAAGTACCTCAGCCCTAGAATGGATGGAGGACGGAAGGTTCCCATGTCTTTAATGAAGCAGTGCTGATGTGTCATCATGCAAAGAAACTCCCCCATGGCACTCTATGGGGAGTGCAACTACAATTTTATTTGGCTTCTCCTTCTAGGCTACCCCGCTACCTGCCCCTGGCTGCTCTCTTGCTCCCACTAGGACCTGGTGCAGACTTCTGGTCTGCTTCTGGCCCCTGAGCACAGGGGCTGAAGTCCTGCTCAGTGCTGATGGCCGTGTATGCCTGCAGCATGCGTCAGGAATACTTCATGCTTCAGTCACCTAGGGCTCCAGAGGTCACCTGGGGCCACCTCATGCTAACCACGCAATATGCCTTTTCCAGGAGCTTGCTCACATTTTGCCACTTCCAGCCCCACCTTCCTTCCCTGTTTTGCCCTTTCTACACATTAAACGCGTAGCCTGGGAGATGCCCTGCCCGGAGTCCTCCTGTTAGGAGCCTACCTTGTCCCGAGGGATTCGCTGCCATCCTTCAGCTCCGGACCAGTTTCACTCAGTTCAAACGTTAACCTCACTGATACCTGCAAATCAGGCCCTGCGCAGGTAAGAACATCTCCTTTCAAAGTTTGAATCTAAAGCACCACCACTGTTTACAACCAGTTAAGAATAAATGTCAGTGGCAGCAAATGGCAGCAACGCCCCAACCCCTCAGCTTCCACCCCCCCCCCCCCCCCCCCCCCAAGAACCAACTCTCGCACTCCTCTTTCCCTCTCCCCCCAGACCCACCGGCTCGCACCCCCTCCCCCCGCTCACGGGAAGGCGCTCTCCTCAAGCCCTTCCTCCCCCCCCCCGTTACTCCTCTGGAATGGGCCCTCCCGTCCCGTTTCGAGCCGTCCCGTCCCGTCCCATCCCGCCCGCACACCGTACCCACCTGCCGCAGGGCTGCCGCTCCCCGCCCCGCTCAGCCCCGTCCCGGAGGACCCCCAGCCATCCCGTCCCACCCGCCCCTCCTCGCGCGGCTCCGCTCGCTCTGCACCGCCGCGACCAATCAGCTCGCAGCACACGCTGGCCCGCGCGTGACGCCACATGCCACGCGACGAAGCACTCCCTGCACGGCGCTTAGCTTTATCCTTCCGGGTGGCGCAGAAAAACGTCACGAATCACGGTTTGACGGACGTGCCAAGATGGCCAATCGGATCCAAAGGGAGGGGGCGGGCCCGCCCTCGCCTCGCCTCGCCTCGCTCTGTGTGCGCCGCTGGTTTCTACGCGATGGGGCCGGCCTCGTGGCCGCGGGCCTGCTGGGCAAGGCGCGGGCGGAGGGTTCAGCTTCGGGCCTTTGCGTCCGTCACAGACAAGTGAAATCAGTTATTAAAACTGTAACAAACACATAACGCAAACATGCCCCAGCACCGAGCTGTGACTGGTCGAAAAGGCAGTCATGCAGCCGTGCCGTAGCGTTATATGCAGGGCTTTAATTCAGGCAGTAAACTTTCATGGAATAAAGAACTTCCGTGTGTGTGTGTGCTGTTTCAATGCTCGGTACTGAAATAAGCCTCTGGCACAGTGTGAGGGTGGTGGGCTGGCAGTGATGCCCGCACCCTGCAGGCCACTTGGATTCATGTGCTTCACCAAGCCCTACGAATTCCGAGCTGCCCGCCAGCATCCAGGCTTAAAGTGGAACAAGGGCTTGTTAAAGCTGGAGTTGTTTTACTTAAGATGGAATTACTCATATTGGTAAGAATGTAGGGAGAGTGGCTGCCAAATGCCATGCTATTCCATTATCTTGGACAACCAAATGCATACTTTGTTGTTGAAGGGAGCTGCCTTTTTTTTTTTTTTTTTTTTTTTTTTTTTTTTTTATTCAAACTTCTGCTGCAGACAGAGCAGATTATGTGGAAATAATAATTTGGGGGAATACACAATGTCTGCAATGTCCATCTGACTGAAAACATATATTTTTCATGCAAGTTTTCCTGTATTCCTATTATTCATACATGTTCTGGGGTGGGGAATGTTCCAAGTATGCTGCTGTTTATGCTTTTGTGCTTACTTTCAAAACCTCTCTAAGAGTGATTAAAACTGGGCAAATTTATGCCTGGAGACTCGTGACTTCCAGATGTAGGATTTGGTTACCCAGACTGATTGCCTGGTGAAACCTGTCTTTGTGTGTTTGTGTGTGTTGCTGAAAACCCCAACCAGCACTCCAGCAACCAGCAAATAGCTGCCAATCACAGGGAGCTTTCTGTTTGCTTAGGGACTACTAACGTCGTGTTAATACTGCTGAAGGTAAACATTGCTGTTTTATGCACACATGGGCATTATTTCCAAATCCTTTTGTCTAAACAGCTGACTGAGCTCCTTCCCTCTGATTTTTTTTTTCTTGATTTATTTAAATAATTTCTCATCGTCTCTTGAGATTTATCATATGTTCTGTTTTTTAACCTTTTTAATTATATTGTCTTGATCTGTGGTCCACTTCATCTGCAGGCTTTGTATACTGTCCTTAACTGATGAGAAGCACTGTGAGTAAAGAACAATGCAGAGCCCAAGATGATGATCCAAAGCTGAGGAATTTCACTTCATGTTCATGCCAGGACGAAGGTGCAAGTGATTCTGGAAAGTTGCAGTTAGAGTCAAACAGGCTGAGCTCGTTAACACAGCAAATGCTGGTGACAAGATTTAAGATGGCTGTTGGCTGGGAGCAGGGAGAGAGGGTAGAAAAAGGGAAGATAGTAAGGCAAAGATGTGGAGTCATCAGCAAGGAAACTCAGTTGCAGAAAGGCTGAGACAGTCCTATAGAAGTATGATGAAAATTATTGACAATCTTAGCTTCAAGCATCTGCCTGGAGACGTGGTGCTTTCTCAAGTCAAATGATTGGCTTTGAAAGAAGTTTCATATCAGCAAATTAATTTCCTCTGTGGGCTACAGAAATAGGAATACAGGTAACCCTTGAAAGGAATGAAGTCTAATCTCTAGTACATCAGAGTACTTTCATTTTCCCTGAAATTCTTCCTTTGTGTTCACCATAATCAAATAAAGTTTATAAAATGTAGCTCTTATATAGCAGCTATCAGATGAGGTAAGCTCAAAGCTGAGGTAAATAAATGATTTACCCTTTTTTTTTTTTGGCTTAAAAATGGTCTGTGCAGCATATTGGCTTGGCTTGAGCCAAGATCTTCCACATGGCTGTTCTTTCTTCCAACTGGCAATGCTATTCATACAGATCCATTCTAAATACCACCTTTTATTTCTTATCTTTATTGTGGATGTCACACACACATGCAGACCATAAATTTCAAAAAGTTGTGAATAGTTTTTAATCATTTTATGTGATGTTTGCTTCTTTTTTTTTTTTTTTTTTTTTTTTTTTTTTTTTTTTTTTTTAATAGTGGCCTTGAGATACTGTTGCTGTAGCTGGAATCCTCAATGGTTGAACATTTTTCATTTGGTTGCTGGTTAGCAGACTTCTATTGTATATCACAAGTACACTATCTTTCCACTGTCCTGTTTATTGCTTCCCCATCAAACTTGACAGCTTTGAAGCCTTTTGATGCAGCAAAGCATACCCATTAGTTTAAATATGTCCATGAATACCACTGTTGACTAGAAGTGATCACAACTGTATGCAGTTAAACATGTGCATAAGATTTAAATGGCTTGGGTGCAAAAGCCTGCTCTGTTCACTCTCTGCGATGAAAGACATGAGCTGAAATAACAGAGGGAGGAAAGGAGTTTGTTTGTTTGTTTGTTTGTTTGTTTGTTTGTTTGTTTTGCTTTGTTTTTTGTCTTTCCAAAAATATAGCTGAATTTTAATTTCTGAACATCCACTAGAATGGTGTCTTTAAATTAAGATGAAAGATTTGAGTTAGATATTAGGAGGAAGTTTTTCACACAGATGGTAACACACTGGAACAAGTTGCCCAAGGAGGTTGTGAATCCCTGGAGGCATTTAAGGCCAGGCTGGATATAGCTCTGGGCAGCCTGGTCTGGTGGTTGGAGACCCTGCACATAGCGGGGGTTGAAACTAGATGATCATTATGGTCCTTTTCAACCCAGGCCATTCTATGATTCTATGATTCTGTGATGGGAAAAGATGTGAATATTGAGGACTGGGCTCTCAATTGCCAGATAAGCCTGAATGTCTGATGTGTGTGACCTCTGGTCTACTCTGGTGTTTGTACTGTGGAGTGTGCTATGCAGAAGAATTCCATCATTTAGGTTTTAAATAGTATACTTGATGGAAAGCAGGTGGATTTTCAATGTCTGGTCTGGTAAATAAATTCAACTTTAAGATAGCCACTTGCTAGTCATTTTAAACCAAGTTGGTATCTTATGTTTCATTATCTGACCAGGACAATGAAGATGCATTAGAAAAATAATGTTATGAAAGAGCTGAAGGAGTCCTTTTCAGACTCACTCTGAGCACTTAAGAAATCACTGCCATTATAAAAACATCCTAAGTGGTATTATTGAGCACTTGGCAATCCAGATCAGAACAGCTGTAACCCACTGGTGCTGCTTATCCTTAAATTTGTAAATAGCTTCTCCTACAGGTCATTTTCCATTATTGGTGAGGAGCTGCTCCAATCTTTGCCATGCATGAAAGTACTTTACAACCAAATTGTTTTGCTGCCAGATAGCATATTTGCTATTAAATGTAACATCTGTCAACTAATTTTAAGATTAGAATTGTTTTAAAGAGAAAAATGTTCTTTTTTTGGAGGACTTAGAAAGGCAATACAGAAAGAACCTGGTTCTCAGAATTCACTACCAAGCTGTTTCCATTCCAGAAGCCGTAGGTATATCTAGTACACAGTGTAAGTCAATAGCACTGTATAGCGTCTGTTCGAAATTCCCTTTCTTGCTTGTGCTGACCTAGCTGCCACCATCAGTAAAAAAAAACAGGAGATCTAACATGCACAGAATGCTCTTCATTTGGTGCCAAAGATTCTTAACAGTAATGTACCTCAACCCTGGATGAGAAGATACAGCTGAAGTCCAAAAGTGGTAAAACTACTTCCTAAATTAACCCTGCCATAATGGAGGTACAAAAGCATTCCTGTGTAGCCTTGCTGTATCCCTAGCAGACTAGCAGGAATGAAAAGGCAACTCCTAGGTCTTTCACCTCTCAATTTAACTTGGTAAAAATCTTAAAAGATAGCCTGCAAGTTTTTTTATTTCAGTGATATGGAGTAGAACTATTCAGAAACAAACAAACGAACAAACAAAATCACAACAAACACACATGAAACTGGTGACTTTTGTCTTGAATTTTTTTTTGAGATTCTTGATCCCCAAATCCATTTGTCTTCTTTCCTCATTAGCATTATAGACATGCCTATTGTATTTTTTTTTTTTTTTTTTTTTTTTTTTTTTTTTTTTTTTTGCCAACTGAAATGATGTAAACATAAGAAATAGTTAAGATTTTGCTAGGAGAACATACCATCTTTTTCTGATTAATATGTGTTATGAGTTGGGCAGTGAATTTCAATCTCTCTTTATCCACTCACTGATTTTGATTCTCAATTTGTATTTTAATTCTGTTGGCTGAATGTTTCAACATGCTGATTGTTTTTAGCTCACAGAATATTTAACAAAAAGACTACCAATAAGCACATCAAGGAATATACTGCAGTCATAAAAGAACACCATTACATTTAGTGGCATGGAGAAGGAAATGGAGATTGGAACATTATCATCTTTTTCATCAGTCATAACTTCTTAGCAGAATTGAAACATTTGTTTACTTCAGTGCTGCTACTACTAAGAAAAGAGATTCTTTCTTTCCTCAGCTTTTGGCTGTACATTCTTGTGCCTGCCGTTGGAGCCAGATAACCCACATGCTGATGCATTTAGAGGTTTTCTATTTGTGTGTGGAAGAATTTTTCCTACAGGAAGTCATCTACATGACATACTTTTTTTCTCCTCTCCTCTCCTCTCCTCTCCTCTCCTCTCCTCTCCTCTCCTCTCCTCTCCTCTCCTCTC